TATATATATATATATATACCAATTTATAGAAACAAGTGCGGAAAAACATATGATTTAGAAGAATCACAAGTTGTAAATATAAGAGTGGTAATTTAAAAATTCTTTAAAAATTCTTGTTTATAAGAACAAGATACAAATTATAATAACAAAAATAAAATACTTACAATACTAGCATTATTGGGCTAGTGGGTGTAGTGGGATAGGAGTGAGAGACTCTTCAATTGCATCATTATGAAGGCTTCTTACAATATGAGAATAGTGTATAGTGTGTATAGTGAGCTTTGTTAGAAAAAGCTTTCAGAGCTGGGACAAAGCTTGCCCTGGATGGTGCATACTGAAGTCCTTATATAAGGGTAAGGAGTTCCGAAGGAATCAATAGAATGATTACTCCGTTATCTGTTGTGGCTGCTTTTACTTTAGGTAAAGTATTTCACTTTAGCTTTTCGGTGTGAAAGTAGAAGTGAATTTCTTTATCCAGGGTAAATGCTGACTTTCTGGTGCAGATGGGTCCTGCTATTTGTCTGAAGGAATCTACTTTCGGTGGAAAACATATTTGACAGATGGCTGATGGCTACTTTACTAGGGGAACGAGCCCGGGTACTAAATGATTCTTTATCGATATATGTAATAGACAACTTTTCTTTCTTTTAATGAAGAAAGTAGTGATTAAAGCTATCACACATATGAACAAATACCATTATGGGGTAGATATATCTACCAGATTATCATATCCTGTATAAAGATCCTAACTGTCTTGGAAGGGATCCAATGTAGGGGTACATGATGCTTGTGAAGATGTAGAGGAATTGCTTTCACTAGCGGCTTGTTGAAGAAGTTTTTGTGCTAGCTCAATGAGGGCAGTGTGCTTCTTCTAAGATTGCTTGCTAGAATCCTTAGAGGAGGACTTCTTTTGCTTGGGTTCTTTTGCAGTGGATTTCTTGAGCTCTTCTGGAGTAGAAATCCTAAGAGAAGGCATGATCTGCTTGGCTGTAGTTACAAGGGTTAAGGTTGCTGGAACCGCTACTAGGGTTGGAACCTTGACAGGGAACTCCTTTTTGACAAGGTCTACTATTGGTCCTTGCTGGAACCTGGGCCACCATTTGACATAGAATTGTCTGGCGACATTAAAACTAATAATTTCCTATTTTTATTTGCATATCCATGGGACTTTGTACCTGCAAATAAATGTTCGTAAAATAAGAAACTGACTCTCATGTTTATTAGGTCGATAAACAGAGGAGAATGATATAATCTGATCTTGGAGATCAGTTGAAAAGATTTCAGGAATGAGACCATGAATAAACCACCACTGTGCGAACCAAGATGAAATCTGACTCTTGAAATCTTTATGAAACTGTAGGAACCAAGAATGATCTAAAAAATCATTCTAGTAGAGGATAATCTTATACCATGATTCTTTGTAATTATAGTAACTAAATTTTCTCTTATGGTAGGGTAAATCTTTGAGTGAAGAAAGCTGAGATCTCCAATCTTTGAGAGAAATAATTTTTAAAATATTTAAAGAATGATAAATGACTTTACTCGGATCATTTTTATCAGGTATGAGCTTGACAAAAATGGACTGAGTATAGAATAATATATCCTGGTAAAATTGAAAGGTCTTTTCAGGATCATATGGAATAAAGGTCCATCCTGGCTCAAGGTAAACAACTACTAAGTTCATTGGATTGCTTAAGTGAGCATGGACTGGTTCAATAACAAATATATTTTGGGTATAAGCTTTGATGTAGTTAGCTTTTGGGTCTTTAGGGACAAACTGGGGTCGGTGTTGAGAATATGAATTTACTAATTGGCTAGAAGTGCCAGGTTGGACTGGTACAACAAGTCTTGGGGCCTGCTGGGCCATTTGGAGGAAAGTGGTAGATTTGGCTACAGGTCGTGTTGAGTTAGGATTACCAAGGGGTTGGAAACGATTAGTAATCTAGATAGTAGAAGATAAAGGTTTTGGGCTTGACAAGGCTAACTGTTAATCCAAATTTGCCTTTTCTTGGGCAAATATTTGGCTAAGTTTTTATTTTCCTGTATCCCTCCCGGCTTTGAAAGAGGTAGCAGGGTTATTGTTTTTCCTGTTCGCCATGAGGTTCTTGCAGAAATTCACAGGTTAAGAAATCAGGGATGTGATTATTACTGCCTTTAATATATTCGATGTCAAAATCGAAAATACTTAAAATAGATTGTTATCTAGCAAAAATCTGCTTACTAGCAATGTTGTGTACGTCTTTTTCTACAACATACTTTGCTGATTTGCAGTCTATTTTTAATAAGAATTTCTGATTTAGTATATCATTCTAAAATTTTGAGATATATAGGACAATAGCTAAAATTTCTTTTTTAATTGTGCTATAATTTGTTTGTGCCTTTTTCCAGATACCATAGTGAAAACGAACAATTTGTTCTGGGGAGTCTGAAGTAAGTTTTTGAAGTAGGATACCACCACATCCAATGTCAGAGGCATCAATTTGGATGATTTTGAAGGAATCAATCGAAGGAATACCAAGGCAAGACAAAGTTTTAATGAACCATTTGACTTATTGAACTATGGATGTATGAACATATGTCCAAGGAGGAGGCGATTTTCCTAAGATCCTGATAGAAGTCAGAAACATAATTTAGGGAACCTAAAAACCTTTGAAGTTGAGTTTTATTCGTGATCTCATTAGGGAACTTATTTGAAAATTGGATAGATCGGCTGATAGGAACAATAGTGGATAGTTGGATGTTGTATCCTAAGAATCTTACTAAGGCTTGGAACAACTTGATTTTACTGGCTGAGATAACACGACCATTGTGTCTGACAATCTCAAGGAATACATAGAGGTGCTTCCAGTGTTCTTCTATAGATCTGGAGAAGATGAGAATATCATCTATATAGACTATAGAAAAATGAATAATAGAGTTAAAAATTTTATTCATTATATTNCAATACAATTCAAATCTTACAAAAAAAAAATAGTTTTTACTTTTTGCGGTTGAGATTTTTTTAAATTTTTACTTTAAAATTAATC